CTAAAAAAGACGTATAAAATATGAATATAGTATTGGTAACCATACACTTAGTGTAAATTTTCTTTGATACGTACAATAACCGTTTTTCAACCACTGAAAATACTGTATAAAAATGAGTAACAAGACATAAAATATAAAGTTTAAAACATTTTTTAAAAAAAGAACTGTGATGATGCCCCCAGACTTAGCATAAGCCACTTTTAAGATCCCAACCGCAGCCCCTAACAAAGAAAAAAAGCCCAAGCACTACTCATGTTTTTGCGTTTGTTTCTTTTACAATCAAGATGTACAATTCAGCCAAATTATACCATAAAAATGGACTGTTATATGTTTTAAGTCACTTAAATAACAGGAAATTAATACAAGAATATTTTAAATATGTTCTATCGAAAAAATACGTGAATCGAGGGAGTTCTCAGCGAATAATTTTACATATGTTCTTCAGAAAAACATTCGCGAATGTGTGAAGAATGCTGAAACGTGAATAGGGGGGGTGCACTATATATATATATATATATATATATATATATATATATATATATATATATATATATATATATACACGTACATACAGTGATAGAAATATATATTTTTCTAGGAAATGAGAATGTGTGGTAGTATGTTCATCGCGATTTACCCTCTCGAAGGACTTCGTCGGACTAAAGTAATGTTTTCATTGATTAAATTATATATGTGTGGGAAGTGGATAATATAAACGCGTGTTGGCCTGTTCCTTTTCCTTACAACCATGCATTCTGTAATTCTGAGATCAGGTATTGTGTACACTATATCCACTGGCACATGGCACAATGGATAAAGGCGTTAGTTAGATCCAGTGACAGGACCCAAAGAGTGTGAGTTCAATACCCGGTTAAGGCGGTGTAGAACTTGAAGAGGGGCATTAACAGGAGATAACTAATAACTGACATCCATTAGACATGGCACGTGGAACTAGAACAGCCTACCCCAGCCAGTGAAATAAAGGGTTCAGTTCGACACTCCAACCACCTGAAGAAGGCCGGAACGTATAACGGCCGAAACGCTGTAATAAATATGGCGACAAAGATGAGGACAATAGTTCGAATAATGTAAATAGTGAAGCATGCTGTCTTCTTAAAATTAATGTTTAGTCCTTTCCTTTTGCTTTCCTTTACTAACTTTTGTAAGAATTCCTGTAATTTCCTTTCTTACAAACACTGTGACATCTGTATCTCTAATATTGTTAATACTGTGACCACCAATAATGAATCTTGGTCGGACCGCTTCACTGTAAATATTGAATATGACTGGTGAAAAAGATACATATTTGTCTTACGTTTCTTTCTATTTTTTTTTTGTATTTACCGAATTTATTTTCTATATGTATACAGGTGATTTTGTAAATATAAGTTCTGGATAATTCTAATATCATTCCCAAATACATGAAGCTTACTTAGCAGTTAAATACTGGAAAGTCGTTTACAGCCGTGTGGCATATTGAAAGCTACCATATTGGCAAATGAACTTCGTATCAACGATTGTTCGTTTTGAAAAGGTATTGTAGCTTGTCACTAAACAAAAAGGAATGCGCTGTGATAAAAATCTGATCTTTCGCCAGCTGTAATAGATTAGGGTTTTTTTTCAACACTTTTGATCGTATCTATTGAAGCCTTGTCTTCTTTTTATGCGACAAGATCTTTGGAATCAGGAGTCGGGGTGGCTGTTGAATTAAATCCAGAGAAGAAAATCTAGACTGGTTACTAATATCTCCGTGATAGATAATGAAATCATAAAGATTGTCCTAAGATTTATTGTCATGTTCATGACGTTTTGGCCGCTGTACGCTTCTTCAGGTGATTGGAATTTCGAACTGAACCCTTTACTTCGTCCACCGGGATAGATTGTTCTAGTTTCACGTGCCATGCCTCTTCCAGATGTCTCAGTTATCTCCCTCTACAAGTTTTTGTTCACCATTAAATTCCCAACTGGGTCAAGTCACTGGATCCAGCCAACGGTTTTATCCACTGTGCCATGTGTCCTTGAGGATGGCCGGAACGTACAACGGCCGAAACGTCGTGAACATGACAATAAAGATAAGGACAACAGTCCAAACAATGTAAATAATAACAATACCTCACCTCAGATATTATATAGCCAGAAATCATAAGAGGTTTAGCACAAATTTTCCCGTCTTTATTGCTGTTTGTAGATGATGCAGTCTTTTAAATGCCTAATTTTGTGCTATAGAAGGTGTAAACAGAATAATTTATCCTACTTCTAAAAATAACTAAAGCAACGTTTCTCATGACGAGACACTAAATTTTATTTACGGGGTGGGGTGGGGGGGTTGCGGTCATGGGTGATAGAAGTATAAAATAATGTTTTTTTTCCTTCTCAGAAATATTTAAAAATAAAATCTCTATGCAACGCATGAAATAAAAAACTTCCTACAGATATTCCCTTTCAGACCAAATAAATTTATTTATGAAAACAGCACAGCGTATATGAAAATGAAATTGTATATAAAGACTTAGGATAAACCTTAATTTAAAAAAAATTATGTGAAAAAGTTTAAATGGTGGAGAAATAGCTATTCATAAAAATGCGATTTTCTTACAATAAGATACACACACACACACACATATATATATATATATATATATATATATATATATATATATATATATATATATATATATTATACCAAGACGTAAGCGAAAATGGCCCTTCACTGATTCCTTTTTCTTTATTATGCATAAATTGTCATGCTTTCTTGGGAAAGACAGTAAGTGTTTTCCAGTTGCTATATTTCTAGGAGAAGTGTGTTCAATATTGAAAATAGAGCGTTTATAGATATTTCCAGTGATCAGGGGATCAACACGGTGACTCACTTTCAATCTTTTAAGCAGTCATCATCATTTATATATATATATATATATATATATATATATATATATATATTAGATATAGATATAAAGGTAGACATTGAGGTCAAAACCCAGCGGCG